ATGTCTGTCAGCCGTCCGTCAAGTGATGGCGGAATCTGTTCCCGCTATTTCCGAAGCGTCACTCTCCCAAGTCAGAAAAAAATAAAATTTAAAACAAAATGTATAGACGTTTTGTTGGTTCTCGCAGGCAAGCATGCATGGCTTTAAGAATTCGGGCTTTACTGAAAAGAAAGAAAAGGTAAACTCTTATTACTGAGAGTGCCACCTGCTTCTCTGTTGAGTATTTATTCATACCCTAATCAAGACTGGGTGTAGTCTTTTTCTTTCCCCCCTCTCTCCTCCCTCTCCTCGAGAGTGTGGGTGTGGGTGTGCGTGTGTGTGTGTGCGTGTGTTTGTGTGTGTGTGTGTGTGTTCTTCTTTCAGGCTGCTTTTTCACACCCCTCTCTCTCTCTCCCGCTTTTTTCTTCCTCTCTTCACACTCTCTTACACTTTGAGCCCATTACATTCTTTTACGATCTTTATTCATTGTCCCTTTTCTCTCTCCTACATCGCTATTTCTTCATCAGTCTCTCTCTCTTTCTCTCTCTCTCTCTCTTTTCTTTCTCTCTCTCACACACACACACACAGGCACACTCACAATCTGGGCCTATCACATTCTTTTATGATATTTATATATTGTCCCTTTTCTCTACCCATGTACGCTCTTTCTTTCTTTCTTTCTTTCTTTTTTTCTTTGACTGCCTATCACACTCTTTCACAAAATCTATATTTTGTCCCTTTTCTCCCCTCCTCTCCCTCTCTCTCTCTCTCTCTCTACACTCTGAGTCAATCACACTCTTTTATTAATATTTTATCCTTTTTTCTCTCTCTCCCTCCTCCTCCTCCCTCCTCTCTCTCTCTCTCTCTCTCTCTCTCTCCGGACCTATCATACTCTTTTGATATTTATATTTAGTCCCTTTTCTGCATCCACCTTCACTTTTTTTTTTCTTTATTTCTTTCTTTCTTATACACTGGACCTATTACGATATATATATATATATTTATTTATTCTCTCTCTCTCTTTATAGTTCTTTCTTTTTCTTCTCACTCTTTTACACTCTGGGCCTAACTCACTCTTTTATGATATTTATGTTTCGTCCTTTTTCTTACACACTCTTTCTTTCTTTCTTTCCTTCTTTCTTTCTTTCTTTCTTTCTTTCTTTCTTACACTCTGGGGCTATTACAATATTTATATTTTCACCCTTTTCTCACTCCTCCTCTTCTCTCTCTCTCTTCTCACATACTGGGCCTACCACTCTCTTTACGATATTTATCTTCTATCCCTCTCCACTTTCTCTCTTTTCTTCCCATTGTCTCAGCGACTTTCTTCTCTGAGTTTTTTTCACGGTCATTTCATTTCTCTGGGGCTCTTGACGTAGAGCACCGTTAGGAATGCTGCCATCACAAGTGATAAATTGTTCGAAGCTAACTGGTTGCTACACTATTGTGGTCAAAAACTAAATATTCTTAAATTTAAAAATTCGTAATGAAAAAAAGTACCAACACAAATACTATCATTTACGCTATTTACATTCTTCCGACTGTTGTCCTGATCTTTTTTGCTATATTCACAATGTTTTGGCCGTTGTACGTTCCCGTTTTCTTTAGATTGTATAAACCGAAACCTTTATTTAGTCCACTAGCCAAATTGTTCTAATTCCACATACCATGCCTTTAGGATAAATCAGATTTAATTTAGATAGATAGACAGATAGATAGCTAATGAACTGAAAAAGATAGATAGATAGATAATGAACTGAAATAGATAGATAGATAGCTAATGAACTGAAATAGATAGATAGATAGATAGATAGATAATGAACTGAAATATATAGATAGATAGATAATGAACTGAAATAGATAGATAATGAACTGAAATAGATAGATAAGATAGATAATGAACTGAAATAGATAAATAGATAGATAATGAACTGAAATATATAGATAGATAGATAATGAACTGAAATAGATAGATAGATAATGAACTGAAATATATAGATAGATAGATAATGAACTGAAATAGATAGATAGATAATGAACTGAAATATATAGATAGATAATGAACTGAAATAGATAGATAGATAGATAATGAACTGAAATAGATAGATAGATAATGAACTGAAATATATAGATAGATAATGAACTGAAATATATAGATAGATAGATAATGAACTGAAATAGATAGATAGATAGATAATGAACTGAAATAGATAGATAGATAGATAATGAACTGAAATATATAGATAGATAGATAATGAACTGAAATAGATAGATAATGAACTGAAATATATAGATAGATAATGAACTGAAATAGATAATGAACTGAAATAGATAGATAATGAACTGAAATATATAGATAGATAGATAATGAACTGAAATAGATAGATAGATAATGAACTGAAATATATAGATAGATAATGAACTGAAATAGGTAGATAATGAACTGAAATATATAGATAATGAACTGAAATAGATAGATAGATAGATAATGAACTGAAATATATAGATAGATAGATAATGAACTGAAATAGATAGATAATGAACTGAAATATATAGATAGATAATGAACTGAAATAGATAGATAGATAATGAACTGAAATATATAGATAGATAGATAATGAACTGAAATAGATAGATAGATAGATAATGAACTGAAATAGATAGATAGATAATGAACTGAAATAGATAGATAGATAATGAACTGAAATAGATAAATAGATAGATAATGAACTGAAATATATAGATAGATAGATAATGAACTGAAATAGATAGATAAATAGATAGATAATGAACTGAAATATATAGATAGATAATGAACTGAAATAGATAGATAATGAACTGAAATAGATAAATAGATAATGAACTGAAATAGATAGATAATGAATTGAAATAGATAAATAGATAGATAATGAACTGAAATATATAGATAGATAGATAATGAACTGAAATAGATAGATAGATAGATAATGAACTGAAATAGATAAATAGATAGATAATGAACTGAAATATATAGATAGATAATGAACTGAAATAGATAGATAGATAATGAACTGAAATATATAGATAGATAGATAATGAACTGAAATAGATAGATAGATAATGAACTGAAATAGATAAATAGATAGATAATGAACTGAAATATATAGATAGATAATGAACTGAAATAGATAGATAGATAGATAGATAATGAATTGAAATAGATAAATAGATAGATAATGAACTGAAATATATAGATAGATAGATAGATAATGAACTGAAATAGATAGATAGATAGATAATGAACTGAAATAGATAAATAGATAGATAATGAACTGAAATAGATAGATAGATAATGAACTGAAATAGATAGATAGATAGATAATGAACTGAGATAGATAGATAATGAACTTAAATATATATAGATACATAATGAACTAAGATAGATAGGTATATATATAGATGGATAAGATACTGATATATATATATATATATATATATATATATATATATATATATATATATATATATATATATATTGTGTGTATTTAGGCAGCATATTTTCATTTATACACGTTTCATTAAATAATATAGACCAGTGTTGTCTATTTATTTTATGTAAAATTTGTTCGTAACATCTGATAAGTTTGATAACATTATCATTAAACGAAGAAAGAAATTCACAATATTGATCCATATTTTTTAATATAATCTAAGCTTTCGGCTTACTTAAGCCATTATCAAAGATGTAAATCACAAACATATTAAACAATATACGGACACGACAGTGATGATAGTCTGTCATTGTTTACATAGTGGATCACTAAGCAACGATAAACACGCGCATATAAGACGCTAGAAGCGAAAATCGCACCGCATCTCATGACGTCACACATGACTACACGAGAGTGAATTGTAGAATGAAGTAAGGAAAGCCGTTGGTATAAACCAATGGCTTCTGTTACCAATTTTAGACATTTAAGAATATTTGTAGAGATGCCATAATTGATTTTGTTTAGGTTGGGTTTTAACTGTTTGATGTATAATGCTTCAAGTATTTTTAGTTTTTGTCTATTGTTTTCATGTCGAAGTATAGTTGTGTAAAAATAATAATAATAAACCAAATTAGGATTTATTATTGGTGGCTATAATGTTATCAACATTAGATACGATGATGTCGCCGTCATGATGACAGACTCGGAAAGAAAACTGTAAGTATTTTTAAACCAGTAAAGCAAGAAGAAAGACTAACTATTAACTATAAGGAGACAGAATGCATCGGTATCAGTAAAAGTGGCAGCAGGTAGCTATTGGACCTTTCAGATCATGTGAATCAGACATTTGATGGTGCATAGGAATAGTTAAAGGTGTCTTTCAGAAACAAAGCAGTGTATTAAGAAATAGAAAAATAATTAGAAACAAAGAAAAGAATGCCAACTTACTAATGAACTGAGATAATGAACATAGATAGATAATGTACTGAGATAGATAAATAGGTAATGAACTAAGATAATAAATTTTGATAATGAACTGCGATAGATAGATTGATTAATAGATAGATATTTCCTATATGACAGTATTTTTACAGATGAAGAAAAAACTTGAATTACCATATTATCGCATCCCTGTGTGAGAATGGCTACTAACTTAACCTTCGTAAATGTCAATGAATTCAGCTCAACACTTTTACCGAATGAGCCACGCTCCGTTCGCATTCACACCCAGAATCATCTGTGTATGCGACCCGTGCTTTGTTGTAAGAAATGAAAGGATAGCGGCCCAACAGAGGGACCAAACTTAGTCTCTGTGGGCACACGCCCTAGTAGCAAACACAAACTGCCATCGACACCACGAGCCCTGATAAGCGTGACGCGTGTAAATGGCAGCCACGCATGCGCAGGTCATCACGGACGCCAACCAACATGGGACAATCAAAGTGTCAAAAACAGAAAAATAAGTCCGAGATTGAAAAGAGGATGAACACGACGGGAGGCTAACCTAAGCCTTTTGCCCTCGACGCCGTGAATTCTACGGTTCCAGTGGCTCCAACAAATACTCGGGCACGGAAAGGTCAAAGAACGTTGGACACGTGAGGCTCTTGTCCTGGACTGACATCATTGCATCCCCTTACCGACACCACCCTTCAATTTTCCCCGATTTATTAATAACCCTGAAACAAGATTTCTCGCCCTCGGACTAACCCAGTTTTTGCCATCATGCCTCTTTGTTGTAAACTATTGTTGAACTTCGTCGTTCATCGTTTTCACGGTTCTTATTCATCTGCTTCATTCTACCCTGAGAGTCTGGGAATATCTAAATTTTACAAGTATAAGAGTGATAGTATTAAAAATAATCCCTGGGGAATATCTTGACCGTTGTTGAAGTCAGAGTTCAAAGATTTTATCCAACCTGGAGCAACTTAAAATATTAAAATAACCAGCCTACTTCTCTCATCTGCAAGTGAATAATTTTTTTTCTTTTCATTTCCTCACCTTTGACATTTTCAATCATCATGTTATAATTCTGGCTTTTCCTCCGCTTACGGCCATATCACCATCACTGTAATGAAGCATCTTTGAGGCCAGTCAGTATGTAGATGGGTGGCCGCTTGGGAATAGAAGGTACTGTAAGCATGGGTGTGCGGTTGGTGTAATGAATATCGGCTCAGAATTGGAAATCGAAGAACCGAGTTCCAGTTCCAGTCACATTCGTTATATTCATCCACTCATAAATAACCTTGGGAAATTCATTTCTTCCCCCTTCAGCTATGGGTTAATTAGTAGGAATTTTATCGATAAATCATTATCTCCAAAAAAAAATCTTACAATACAAAAATATCTTCTGGCTTTAAATAACCTTCAAAATGTCGATAAACCATAGAAAACAAATCATCCAATAAAATCCCCTGTTAGTAAGTTAGCACATATGTCTCACTCTGCCATTTGTAACGATGAGAATAACTTTTTCCTTATAAGGAAACATTCGGCATTCATTGACCGAACAGTTAGTGTTACTGTCGACTGAAATTTATCAAATCCTTTTCTCACACAGTTTTTCAGGAAAGTATACTTCTTAAATCCACTAACTGTTATCCCTCTTTCTCCAGTGGATTTGTTGTTTCCTTCCAAACTTTTTAATGTAGTGTGGAAGGTCGGCATCTTGAAAATATCATTATTTTACCTTCGAGTTAAATCTTCTTTAGTTGCCGCTATTGGAATAACTAAAATGAATCCTTTAGAAAATCTATCCTTCGTGCTAATCAAAAATCAAAATGGCGTCAATTGAATGAATCCTTTATGTCTTAAAGAAATCAATCCTTCCTGCTAATCTTCAAGCGATGGGTTTCTTTTTTTTATATA